GATTCAGTGGGATAGAACTAAAAATTAGCCCTGTCCCACCCTTTCATCCGGCGCTCCAAAGACAACTAAACTTCAGCAGCACACAAGTACAGAAACACCACCATCCTTGTGGTCTGGTGGTATAACTTTCAAAAACCATCATCACTTTGAATCATCAAATATAAGTTTATTACCTTAGCAGCAATAGCGCGTAAATACTTGGCACGGACTGCACCTGATGCCGACGACCAATCTCTCCCTTTGTTCCTAGAGAGCGCTCTCCGAGCAGCATCCACTGCGAGTTCCACATCTTCAGCAGTGGCTGCTGGAATATCACCTGAAAAACGAACCTCAGACCGATCATATCAGATCATTCTCAAATGACAGCCCAACTAACACAACCTACTCACTAATCATCAAACAGTAACATTGATTAAAAAATTGATACGAAAAATCATAAGAAGTTGATCTTCAATTTTTGTCTTTTACATCCCTTTTCCCCAAATCCCTCCCAACCTTAGTCAAGATTGGAACATGAGATCTCCAAAATAGAATCTCAGACTCTTAACCAAAATAGAATCTCAAACTCTTAACAGTTAAGCCACCACTTGGCGGTTTATAACATAAGAATTGAGCAGCCAAGTTCTGCGGAAATCGAATATACCGATGATTTCTTCGGTGGCCGGGTTTATGATAGGGAAGCGCTTCTTGAGTACAGGCTCCCTCCACTCGCCGTCGACAAACAACTGCCGATTGGGGATACAGATCGCCATTTTTCACACTTCAGTTGATAGATATGCGAGGCGGTGACCATATGATATCAGAAAAGATTGCAATCGGTCAGCGAGAGGGACTGTCCATTTTTGTTTATTATTATTATTATTAAATAATAATTATAATTTTTTTAAGAGGGTAAAATTTTATATTAAAAAATAAATTTAAATTTAAATTAATCAATTAAAAATTAATGCATGATATTTATAATTAAAATAAAAAATTAATTTTATTATTTTTAAGATAAAAAATAATAATTATTACATAGTTAATATTATTTATCATGTGTTATGACAGATTAACCCTTTATTTTTTTATGAAATTTTATTGTTTATAACTTAGTTTTCTCTCTTTCATGGTTTTTTTGTTTTGTTTTGTTTTGTTTTTTCTTTTTTGAACTAGAGCAATTGTCTATGTCTATTACTAGAGCATTATATATTTAAGTGGGGTGGGGGATGTGTAGCTCGGGTCGAACTTGAAACCTTTTAGCGTTGTTCCCACTTAGCGGTTAAAAAGAATGGCATCACTCCGTCCATCAAATAGGCAGTTCTCTCCTGTATGGATTTTAGTAAAAAATCCCCATCAGAAAATACTGTAGTCGGTGGGTTATTCAATCATCAAAAGTAATGCAAAACTATATGTTAAGCCTTTAAATTAATCTCAAAATTTATTATTCAGTCTTCAAATTTTAATTGATACATATAAGCCCTTAGATTCCATGATTTGAGCAATTTAACCTTTAATTCCTTAACTATCATAACCATAAAGGCTAAATTGTTATAAGAATAGGGGTTAAATTATGATTTAGTTTACTCTCTTCCATGGTTTTTCTTCTCTTTTTTTTTTTTTTTTTTTTTTTTTTT